ATGTAATGATCACACAGGACACATGAAACTATAATGATGTATCTGATGCATAATTAATATATCTATGTAATGATCACACAGAACACATGAAACTATAATGATGTATCTGATGCATAATTAATATATCTATGTAATGATCACACAGAACACATGAAACTATAATGATGTATCTGATGCGTAGTGAATATATCATTGTAATGATCACACAGGACACATGAAACTAATGGTGTATCTGATGTGTAGTGAATATATCTATGTAATGATCACACAGGACACATGAAACTGTAATGGTGTATCTGATGCATAGTGAATGTATCTAATGTGTAGTGAATATATCTATGTAATGATCACACAGGACACATGAAACTATAATGGTGCATCTGATGCTTAGTGAATATATCTATGTAATGATCACACAGGACACATGAAACTAATGGTGTATCTGATGCGTAGTGAATATATCTATGTAATGATAATACAGGACACATGAAACTAATGATGTATCTAATGCGTAGTGAATATATCTATGTAATGATCACACAGGACACATGAAACTGTAATGGTGCATCTGATGCTTAGTGAATATATCTATGTAATGATCACACAGGACACATGAAACTATAATGATGTATCTGATGCGTAGTGAATATATCTATGTAATGATCACACAGGACACATGAAACTATAATGATGTATCTGATGCGTAGTGAATATATCTATGTAATGATCACACAGGAAATTATGTTTTGCATGAAATGTATTAAAAAGAAAGAAGTAGAATGAAGTAAGTCATAAAACACTATTTCTCAAAATGAACATTTCAGATTTGGCAAAAATAAAACATCAAAAGTTTCAGGAACGACCGAAAAGGTTCAGGATGATGAATTGAAGATGAAGGGGGATGAAAGAAACCAAACCAAAGAATCTTCTCAGGATGGCCAGGAAAAGTAAGTTGTCCAATTTTCATTCACTCTAACTTAAACACATGCTTAACTTTGTTTTAAGTAAATTAGGTATTACGAAACATTTATTTAAAAGTTGAAGCCCTTGAGGTTGCAAAAAACTAAATTATCAAAGCCCTCTAACTTCAATTATTTTTTAGCTACTTAACAATTAGTAAAAGCTAATGTTGAGATAAACATATTAGCAACGTTTCTCTGTCCAATATTTTATTTTCTGAATTTGAAAACTTTTCTGTCATGTATGATCTTTTTATTAGAATTACATGTACTTTCAAATAGCAATATTTTTCAACCTAACTCTGATACATATCTAAATCTTAAATAATCTCTCTGATTGATTAGCTTAAAAATAAACGTACTCTAAAAGAAGTATGTAATAACTAATTATTTCTCTGCCTGGTGTTCTATCAGAGCTAAAGAGGTTTTATAAAGTGATGCAACAAACTTGTGTATCCAGTATTCATTCATTGTTAATAGTCTTAACTAATTTGTCCTTCTGATTATTCCATCAATGGCTCTTCTGACAGTAGTATAATTAACTTTCCTATTCAGTGTTCTTTCTGTGCTAACAGTAATGTAATAACTTGTCCAGCCAGTGTTCCACCAGTGTTATAGACTTTTTTTAATAGTAATGATACTAACGTGTCCATCTGGTGTTCCATTAGTTTTAATGAACTTTCCTGATAGTGAAGTAACTAAATTAATTTGAACCTGCTGTGTTTTATTATTTCTCTGAGTAATTATTTTTTGTGACAATTTAAGAAACGTTAATGCCTATGTAGAACAATATTTGTTGAAGGATACCAGAAAATTACCGAGGAGTGGCCTACAGAGACAAACAAAATCGAGTACTTTATAGATCAGCTCGCTGCTTTTCTACGAACCATACGAGACCTTCTGCCCATATCACAGAGAACATTTGTCAAGAACAGGAACAACGTGTTGCACCTCGTCAGCCAGACCTGGAAAAACGGGGTCATTACGTGAAAAATAAAAAGGACAACTTTCACGAGATAGAAATAAAAGAACCACTAGTTCAACAATCGGTACTTTTGTTATATAGATAAACTTTCTGTTCCATCTTCTAGCTAAGAATACATCTGAACTCCTTGATGGACAAAAGTGATTGAAAGCTTACTAACTCATTTTGGCTTTGTACATTGTTAAGTGTGAAAACATTAATCACAAATTATGAGAGTGATGATTGAGTGAGAAGTTACAGCTCTTTTTATAAATAATTTTACTGTAGGTACTATACGTAATTTTGTGTGTGTCTATTTATAGATATATATTCAATAAATATACCAGAAGGATAAAGTAAAAAATGAACTTATTTACTTTTCATAAGGAAATGAAGGATGATTAAGTTTGTGAAAAATTGGAAATATTTCTATGAACTTTGAAGAAAATATTTTTTTTTGAACAATGGCCCCATACTTGTTGTCCTGTATTACCCCTGTTTACATATAAGTAGTTTCAGCCAAGATTTGTAAAAAAAAAAATATTAGAACTCAAGATTTCTGAACAAATATTTGACATCTCAGAAATGTCATAATTGTAGTGTAGAAACTACGTAGTTTAATCAAATTTTTGCATTCAAAATATAAGAAGATAGAAAAATGAATAGTTGGGATTGACTCTTTGTAACTTGTTCAATCTGAGTACTAAACTTTAAAATAATCTGTTAGGTCCAATATTAAAAACTGTTGTATTTCAACCTGAGTACTAAACTTTAAAATAATCTGTTAGGTCCAGTATTAAAAACTGTTGTATTTCAACCTGAGTACTAAACTTTAAAATAATTTGTTAGGTC